ACATGTCAAATTACTCTCTTAAAATTCAGGGGTAAAATTAAGAAGAAAATTATTTTAACTAACTTTAAATTTGATGAATTAATTAAAAACGACTGGAGGACAGGAGGAGTAACTAATAATGTAAAGGATAATGATCTAGGATAACGGATAAGCACAAGCAAGCTCCACTTGTTCAAAGACCTCTGCTTCGGTTAAGCACATGCGGAATTAATGGTATAATAATGATACAGCTTAATTATAAAATATCATAGTTATCTTCCACACAAATGTGGCGTCTTAATGAACAAGCAAAAGTCAAACCGTCTGCCTCTTTTTTAACATCTTTATTGACTCCTCCTAATGCGATGATAATTTCGTATTCTGCATTTAATAAGAGAACCGTGTGTCACGACATCTTTTCGTTGATGTACACCATCCGTCATATAAGTACTCCGTCTGTTTTAAATTATAAAATATTTTTAAATAAAATTTTAAATATTAATAAATTTTACTAAATATATTTAACAATCTTATTTTTTAAAAATAAAAATATAAACTTTTAAAAATACATGTCATTTAATATATTGAAAAGAGAAAGGATATAAATTAATTATAGAGAGAGAAAGGATAATATTAAAATTGATACATTTAATGACATCTTAATCTACTCAAGGTGTCTTATATTTTGAGATAAAGAATCTTTTTCAAAAGTATTTTATAATTTGATACGAAAGTAATATTTTTAATTGAATTATGCATGTCAATAAAAATTTATTATTTAGTTAGAATTATATTAAATCACAATAATTTTTTTATTTTGCCCATAATAATGTCAATTAAGATCATGATTGTGATGGGTCAAGCACACAATTAGTTTCTCTTCTCTCTTTTTAAGATAAAAGTAAAATTATTTAATTATTCAAAAATATCATAACATTTTTTATATTTAAAAATGAAATAAGCTTATAAAAAATATTATAAATATAGAGACAAAGGAAATAATCAATAAGCCATTGATGGGCCTTTGAAGGAGTGTAAAACAAATTAGAAGAGGCCAGAGCTCCGGACCAACAGAATTAGCACAATTGCAAGATTCATGATCATTCATGCTTGCCATGGGGAGCCAATCATTCAAAGAATATAACATTCTTTACAGTTAGAAACGCACTTATAAATGCTTTTCATTGCAGTTCACTATGAATTTGATGATAATGGAGAATACGAAATTTGGAATATGCCTCCCATCAAGAAAAGTTACAGTGTTGTGCCAAAAAGGGATCATGTTCTCTCCTGATGAGTGGATTGAACTGGGAAGGTATCCTCGATCAGAGCGGCTTAACATGGACAAAAGATTCTGGGGATGCATCAAGCAGCAGCAGCAGATAGCCATATCATTGGCATCCCCAAAAAATGAGGTGGTCTTCGCTTTGCAACATGGTACCTAGATGTATCATCATGCTTCAAATGTTTCTGTTGGGTCTGAATACACAACACATTCAATTCAATCAGAAACTCTATCCTGGCCATCACTCTCTTTCAACTCGCCTTTAGAATGGTGAATAGTGGATTGCATGTGCTGATTATTTGGCGAAAACAGGTCACAGTACTCAAGATGGGATTATACTGATAGCTACGGTTCCTGGCTCTTTGTTTCAAGCTTTAGCTTGCCTTTTGTATCTCAAAAAAAAAAAATGGCGATGAGTGCTACGATTTCATTCCTTAGACTTGGAGTGAATCAGCCCAGTAGCTGCATTTTACAGTGTTTGAGAACATAAACAGTTAAACACGCCGCCCAACCTTTTTTTTTTTTTTTTAACAGCGAGTTACGAACGACATCTATTTTTTGGTACAGAACGTGCGCTATTTACAAAGTGAACTAACCACAGATTCAACCAATACAAGGAGCCCGAGACAACGATATTGGGTCAGGCCCACAGAATAATGGACCGGCATGTGCTCGCCAGATGTTCTTATGGGAGAGCAGCGGATCTAATTGAATCATCAGGCCCATCAAATAAATTTTGCACGGCCCATTGACCCAATCGGCCTTTAAAAGAGTGGCATATTAGGCTCAACAAACGTGCTTATTATTGTAAATCATGGTAATCACAAAATTAATAACAAATAATCGAATGAAACATTTGAATCTGGTTAGAGTTGATACAGGAAAATAGTAAAATTTGTTTCATGTAATTTGATTATCAGTTTATCTATATCCTGGTCATAACTCTGCGGACATAGTATTTTGTGCTTTCTGTTTGCTTCTGGGTTGAAAGTTTTACGTTTTGTTTTTTATTAGTAGGTCTAAGTCTTTGCCTTTGACGTAATTTTTTGTTGTCATCTGTGTGACCTATGATGTGATTAGAGAATTTTACAAATGTATCCTGCTAAATATCGAAGCCTTAAGCATATTCATGAAAATAGAAGAAATATTGAGCAAATGTATGCGTTAAACCTCCAATGCCAACTGGGAGAAAGTAAAATACATATACATATACATATATATATATATATATATATATTGAAGCAACGTTTCCAAGGCATGGATAGAAAGTATGCATAGCGGACTAGTTTCAAAAGAATGCGAGGTACGTAGTCTGCACCATATCAAATATGAGACTGATGAGATCATGTGTGTATACGTAGATCAGTAGATGTGCAGAACACTGATACAAAAAATCCTATAATATAAATACCTAGACGCAGAACCATGCATACAATAATGCGAGGTTCAAATTCGATCAGACTAAAATGTTTTACGACGGATTGCGATCATGTGATCGATGTAGAGTTGAATGAAGGTGGACAGTGACGATCAGAAACCTAACGACCACTAAATTGTCAAACATATTCGTTTTGATAACCCAAAAAAGTAACACGCCCCGGCTTTAACTGCTTTTTAAAAAAGTTGACTGACATATATCAATGTGCAAGTAAGAGTAGAGAAGTCGCCTGTAATGGAAGGGTCACGATGATGAGGACTGAAAAGGAATTCAGACATACAGGTTTGAAGTGGGTGTTATCGTAGGGACTCGCAAATTAATGAGCATAGGGCGTTGCAAACAGACAACAACCAACGTTGACTTGGAATATACGAATCATCAAAAACAAAGGTGAAGAATATTAGGATCCCATGAATTCAAATCACCAGCCGGCATTGTTGGCCAATCTAGATCCATCTAATCCCTCTTTGCACGCCATTCTGCCTCTGCAAATATTGGTCTCCATTGATTTCTCTAAACAAGGTAATAAAAAACAATTGCATATATATACCGGTTACAAGGTAATTGAGAATCGCGTGAAATGTTTCACACAGGATTGGCTCTTATTTTAATCCCGAGAAGAAGTAGGGCAAGAAGCAGATTCAACGAATATGTGAGGAACTGTTAGGACGATGAGTGGGATTCCGCGTATCATCGATCTGAGTAAACTTGCCCGTTTACTTGGGTCTTCCTTTTTGACTGGCAGTGGAATTTCATCCCCTCACGTGACTACACGCCTTAACAAATAAATTAATTTAAAACAGAAAAAACAAAGTACCGATACCATTCACATATTATTCGGCGTATCTATTCATAGTTTGCCTCTCTAATTTCCGATCGATAGCTCTGCTTGTCTTGTTCGCTATACAATAATAAACAAATTATTTGGCTTCTATATGATGTCCATATAATAAATTAATTATTGCCCTTCCCTTTTGAATTCACACCGTCATTGAAGCACTCCTGCTGGGAACTCTTTCAATGTGTGTGTACATATATATATGTGTGTGACAGTTTGCTTTCACAACACACAGATCACATCGACCTTGCATGCTCACTTTAATATAAGGCATAAATCGTATAGTATTGTATTGGATCGGTTCTACATATGCATGTCAACATATTTTTATATTATCTTTTCAAAAAGTGTGATTGGTAATTAAAAATGTGCTGACAAGAAATTCATTTATTCATTTAAAATAATCGTTTATGACATGTCGTAAACACGTTTAGCTTAATTAGAGAGGAGCACGAGATACATTCTGCAGATCGATTATTATGGTTTATATATATATTTGTCGAAGCACTCGGTTGTGCGAATAAATAATTTTTCTTTATTAACAATTGTAACAATAAGAGAAATAGGAAATTAATTAGTCAGAATGGAAAAAGGGAAAAAAAAGGTGCTGTGTCTAAGATTATTTGTAAATTATTTAAGAAAAAATCATATCCAACCCCCTCCCAACTCCTAAAAAAATTAATCACAGATAAAGAACAATGCGAAATAAACTATTGTTAAAATAGGAATATGACTTGTTTTTTAAATAAAATTTATTATTGATCATTATCTGTGATTAATTCTCTTAAAAGGAGATTGGATGTAATTTTCTTATAATTTAAATGCAAAAGAGGAAAACACAGGCATGTTAAACTATTGGGAATATGTGTGTTTGTGTGTGTATTCCATATATGAATGTGAAACACAGGCATGTCAATCTGTTCATGATTATCAGAACTAAGCATACGAGAAAATGACGTCTTCTTCCGTGGTTGCAACCTAAATAATGCATGTGACCAGATTCTCCAAAAACATGTTCTCCACTATTTCAACTGCACAACCCATCTTTGAAGCGAGGGGCGTTAATTTCTTTTATTATTATTATTATTATTTATATATATATATATATATATTCAAAAGTTTAGATGTGGCAGACCTCTCAATCTCTTTGAGAATTTTCGAACGGAATTACAGATTGTCCATCAACGAGTGCTTCACGTAAGTCACAGAGGGAATGAAGCACGGTTTGATAAAGGGCGTAATTAGTGATACTGTATGAGAGGTCATTGCCACTTCACTGTCCCATTGGAAGCGCCAAAAAGATCCAAACAGTGTCCCTGAGTATGGATCGACATAAACAAAACTCTACCCTACAATTCCGTGTGCCTCTGAGCAGGCCTCTTCTGGTTTCGCCACTTTTTCTTCCTTTGACCGCCGAACGGTCCCTCCCTTGGAATGTAGAACACTCTCCCCCGTTGAATTCTTACACGTCACATCTCTATGCTTTGCATTTCTATGACCCCTAGGGGATGGTCAGCTTCTCTGCGATGCCCCAAGCCCTTTATTCTCTTATTTATTGCCAATAGCCGCTTTCTCTTACCGCTACTTCCCCTCCTTCCCTTCACACCCAACCTCCTCCTCTTCATCCCCCACCCTCCCTCCTCTTCTTCTCATTCTCTTGCTATACGTACCTAATAACTAACCCCATCTTCATTAATTCTCTCGGCGCCATTCATTCCTTGATACATATTATGGATCAAGTTGAGATTCCTGAGTACTTCATATGCCCCATATCGCTCCAAATCATGAAAGATCCCGTCACTGCCGTCACCGGCATCACTTACGATCGAGAGAGCATCGAGCGCTGGCTCTTCACCGCCAACAACACCACCTGCCCCGTCACCAAACAGTCTCTGCCGATTGACTCCGACTTGACCCCCAACCACACCCTTCGCCGTCTCATCCAGGCTTGGTGCGCTCAGAATGCCTCCCTCGGCGTCGATCGTATTCCCACTCCCAAACCTCCCCTCGACAAGTTTCAGGTCCTCAAAATCCTCTCCCACGTTCGCAGCCCTCACTTGTCTCTCAAAGCCCTCAGGCAGTTAGAACTTCTCGCTGCCGAGAACGAGAGGAACAAGAAGTCTTTGGTGGAGGCCGGTGTTCCCAAGGTCATGGTCCTGTTCGTTTTGGATTGTTTCCAGAAACGACGGCTTCGCGAGGGGCTCGAGGAGGCTCTCAGTTTATTGCAGTTTGTTAAGGTTCCTGCGGAGGAAATCATGCTTCTCCTGCAGCAGAATGACCAGGTTTTGGATTCTCTCACGTGGGTTTTAGGCTGTGAAATAATGGAGAACTCCGTGATTCTCAAGTCCCACGCGATCGCAGTGCTCAAAACGATCGTGCAGAAGGCCGGTTCCGGCATTATGGAGAGGCTGAAACCCGAGTTCTTTGCAACAGTAGTGAAAGTCCTGCGAAACGGAATAACCCTGCAAGGGATGAACGCTGGCCTGAAAGTGCTGTTAGCAGCTTGTCCGTGGGGAAGGAATCGCGAGTTGATGGTGGAGGCCGGTGCAGTGCACGAGTTGATTGAGATTGAATTAGGGACGCCGGAGAAGAGAACAACGGAGCTGGTATTAGGAATACAGTTTCATCTGTGTTCTTGTGCAAATGGGAGGGCCCAGTTCGTGAGTCACAGAGGCGGCATTGCTGTGTTGACGGAGAGAATATTGAAAGTATCGCCGGCGGCGGATGAACGAGCCATATTTGTTCTGTCACTGGTATCAAAGTCGTCTGCATCGCACATGGTGATCCAGGAGATGGTCCAACTAGGGACTTTGTCGAAGCTTTGCATGTTCCTTCAGGCCGATCATCCGTCGTATCTAAAAGACAAAGCAATGGAGATACTCAAGTCCCATTCTGAGGTTTGGAAGAACTCTCCTTGCTTTCCTGGATCTTTTAATGCGAGTTTGCACAGATGAATATATATTGAAATTAATAATTCCGTCAACTTCAGGCTAATTAATTAGTAAGTGATTGAAAATTGTGAATTTTTAAAAGCTCTCTCTCTCTCTCTCTCTCTCTCTCTCTCTCTCTCTCTCTCTCTATACATTGAGTTTTTACTGCTCTTGTACATGCATGTTTGAGGTCAGATAAATCTCTTAAAAATTAAAATCAAAGGCACGGACAAGGAGAGTGATCACCGTCATCATCATGCGCAGCATTACTTTTTTTATTAATAGTCGTAGCCCTGAAAGTGATAATTTGCATCGTCCTCCTGGCTTCAATTTAATCACTCAATCCTCGCAACCATGATTGATTCCATCATATCATTGTCTTCAACAAATGTTTTTTTTTTTTTTTGCTGCTGTTGTATTTTTTGCGCCGAAGAGAAACAGTTGGATCGAGGACTTTATGCGTATCCGCCTGCTAAAATATAAATCTGTTAAATTATAAAATATATATAAAAAAACAATAGCATCATCTATATTATTTAATTACGTGGTCAAATATTGAATTGATTTTTTATGGATATATTAATTGAAAGTCCAACAAACACATCGGCTTACTCGATCACCATACAGGAAGTAGTGGAGATCGACTAATATCAATATTCAATTTGAATCACATAACTTCTTTTATACGACATCTTCCCCCACTCAATACTGAAGGAAGGACTTTTAATAATAATTATTTTAAATATTTTATGTTTGTTATTAAAACAAAATTAAAAAAAAGGGAAGTGAAAAGTTATCTTTTCACATTAGTTATTTAACTGAGTGTTCACGCCAATTATGTAAAAAGTCTCTAAAAATCAAACAATTTTTTTAAAAAAATTAAATTTTTAACAATGATTATATAAAAAATCCTTTTATAATGGTTATCTGCAAATAATTATTGTGTATATCCAAAATTTAAATTTATAAATTGTATAGGTTGTACAGTAAATGTAAACAATTAGTCAACATAATGATAATGAATATACAACAAATTACAACTGCACTAAATATATATTTATAAAATGAACTAATATAATATTTTCTCCATAAAAATAATATGTTAATATATATATTTATATTCATCTACTAAAAAATTATAAAATTTTATTTAACCTCTTCATTTTGAAAAGTATTCTTGAAAAAGTTGTTGAGTTAATATATTTTGAATACCGTCAATCTCTTTTTCACTATAAGGCTCCTATTATCAAAAATCTAAATGATAAAGTTAATTAGAGCAATAATTTAAGAAATTAAATATAAGAATTTAAACTAAAATAACAAAAACAAATACATCTTGTAATCTTTCAATACTTTCAACTTAAACTCTTATACATATAACGAATAACATAATATTCACATTCTATGCTTCCTGATTGCTTACGGCATTAAAATAAATGAAAATTTAAAATTAAAACAAAACATGTGAGGGATAATTAAATATAAAAGTTAAAGATTCATACTTATATTCAGATAAATCCATTCCATCAATAATTTTTGCTTACATGCCCCAAAGATAAGCATATAATATGTCTCAAATGAAAAAAAATTACAAAAGAATAAATATCTCTAGGAGTAAAGTTTTATATAGATAAAAACTTACTTGTTAAAGATCTATGTCAACTTCTCACTTGGTGTTTCACCCAAAGAACAAAACTAGTATATTACTGCTCATTTTCACAAGTATACAAGATCACAATAATAAATTATTCAAAATATTTTGAGTGTCAAACTTATAAGAAAGTTGCGCTTTTACTAATATAAATAATTAATGGTTTGAGAAAAATATATAAAATGGATTATTTGATAAAAATATAAATAATAAAAATAAATGAAGAAAATAATGATAAGAAACAAACAATCACTTGAAGTGTTGGGGTTTAGGATTCACTCTATAGGCTATTAGTTTTTACCTTTTAAGTTGACTTTAATCAATTATAGTGACAACTATTCCTAAAAGTTTTTAATATTCTCCTGAATTATTAGTCTCTTTTTAACTAGCATTGAATTGGTTCTTACGATACTCAAGAAACTAATTAAACTGTGAAATTATAATTTAAATCACAATAAATTTTTAAAATTTTTTCTAACCTAATTATTTATGTCTATTTTTCTAGATCTAAGTTCTCTCTTCATCTCCCAATTCATCAAAATTTCCTATAGATTTGATTAAATAGTGGCCAGTCATTAAATTAATATGAAGAATAAGAGAAATAAATATAATTACAAAAATAAAAATATTCATAAATATAAATACAAGGAGTCAAAACAAAAAAAGTAAAAAACTAGATTTCCAGTTGGGCTACATCCTTACCCCAACTGAGTAATTTAGAAATATATAATAAAATTAAATAATACCGTTCTAAAATTCTCGATCATGAAAAACGATCACAGAAAAATTGAGTAAAAAATAAATAATTATGATTTATAGAACTCCTCAACGATTTTGATTTAAACCTACAGAATGTTTCTATGAACTATGAATTTCAAATACCTCAAAGAGAATTCTTGAAGCACTCAGATAAGTGATTTGATACTTTTTTCTTGATGAAGGAGAGTATTTATAATTAAAGTGAGGCTCATCTTTTTATTCTTAATCGATGAAGGACTCTAATAAATATATATATATATATATATATATTCACATACATCTCTCTCTCTTTTTCCCTTGGAATGGCACCTTCGATTTACATCTCCTCTTTCTGTCTTTCATCAATGCTTTAAGTGTGTGTGTATTATGAGATTTCAAGTGATGACCTCATTCCTCTTTTACAAGCGCGCGCGCGCACACATACTTTTTTTTTAAATATCTTCTTCCATTTGATTTATTCTCTCTCCTACAAAAAAAGACATGAATAAATCTTGTAGCAAAATTTTTTCTTATCTTATAATTAAATGATGAGGGAAAAATATACAAATATTAATTAAATAGATGTAAAATATTAATAAAAATAATCAAATCTAAACCAAAATTTACACATATTTAATTATAAAGTGACCAATGGTAGCTGCAACATATAAAAATTTTAATGGATATTAAAAAACATGAATATATATACATGCATACATATGCATGAATAAAAAATACTTGGCTATCAATAATTGACGCTAGATAACATGCCAATTTTGTATTTGATAGATGATTTATCACACATGTCATCCTCCTATATACTATGTTGTGAGCTTTTTGCACAGCTTTCAAACACAAAAATCAAATGTATTTTGTTTTTCCATTGCACGACAAATATTGTAGAGTTATGTATCATTGAAATGAGATCAAAATGTTAATGGTATAAAAATAAAATAAATGAAGAAAGTAGACAAAACATTATAAGAACTCTAATGTAACCCATGATATGTCAAGCTCCTTTAAATTTAGGAACTACTTGAGATCTCGCTTGTCGAATCCAAAATTATATCTTTTCCATAGCCACGACCCCTAGTGGCATTTTAATAATAACGTCTTCTTTCATATCTTTATAAATTTCATGCAGTTCTGCCAAGCTAGGACATTTAATAGCATTTTTAGGTTCATATTAAAACATACAATGAAAGAGTCATAGATTTCATTTAAAGCACTGCTTGAGACCAACTCCTCTACTGACCCTTCTAACTTAATCGGGATGTTCTGACTTTCCACTTACAGTTGATAGAATGCCCATCCTTCTACTTAGGGTGAGTAAAGGAAACTTGAGTAGCTTGCTCCTCAAGTGAATCCTATAACATACGAGCTAAGTGATTACTTAATCTTTAAAGATAATTAATCATAAAAATAAAATTATTTAACTACTTACGATCTTTTCAGCAACTGCAACAACCTCTAGAGTGATATACTCCCTTTTCTTGATCCTCCCAACCTTCCATTTCTTTAACAAGCTAGGTATGGCAGGGGCTGAACAACAATAATGGGTTCAATTTTACTGCTTCCTCTATTTTCTTCTAATCTTTTTTAATTAGCTTCTGCTCAACTTTCTTATATCCTTTACAAGACATGTAATGAGGATATAGATTATGTAATTGTATTACTTTATTTACTATGCTTAATTTATGTATAAATGAAAAAAATTAAAATCAATAAAGTCATATAAAATGACATTATATAGAATTTAAGTGATAACTTATTACTTGGAATTTAGGGTTGTTCTGAGATGTCACAAACTTTCTCCAAGTGTCTTGATCAAGAAAATTATACTCTAAACATGGATCTCGACCTATCTTTTTTCTATTTGTTCATATGTACTTTCTAGGCAATGTTGATTTGAAATCCTTCTATTGCTTAACAATATTTTTTAACCAATGCTTCTGCATCTCAGGGGTAGCGGGAATATTATAGGTTAATTGTAAAGTAATTAAATTTTAAGTAAGTTAAAAAAAATAATAGAATGCTATAAAAATAACAATTACAAAGTTTGTGGTACTTACCAAAATTTCTTCCCAAACTTAATCCTTAATAGCTTGTAGTACTTATCTCCAATTCTTGTATAGAATACTAATTTCGTTGTGAGTTTAAAAGCCAAGGAAGCTATAAATCAACCTTCCTCATTGCTAAGTGAAACCAAAGTTAGACTAAGTTCAACATATAACCTCTCTGTAGTCCTATGATGTATGGCCAACTCTATCAATTTTTTAAGGCCTCTACTCCTTTTCTTATCAGGTGAATAGTAGTATTATCACCTTTTCCAAAACCCTCCATATGCTTAATGAAGACAATAAGGTAAGATAGATTGATCAAAAATATAAAAATATAAGCAAAAAGACCAAGAGAAAATATATAAGAAAGTAAAAAAACTAAAAATCAAAACAATTACTTTATTCATTCTCTATCTTATTCACTTTAGTTGATTGAAGTGAATTTATTGTGAAAGGTAGGCTCTCGCCAAGATCAAAACTAGAGTCATCATTATCATTTGTTTTAACAGTTTGTCTTTTATCTTGAAGAATAATAAACAACTGCTTATTTGTTGGATCAATAATAAAAAATACTTGTTTTGCTTGATTTACTAAAATGAAGGGCTCACCAGTGTGACCTACCCTGTCGAAATCCACTAAAGTAAATCCAACAATCTTATATATTTGGATG